ATCCCAGCTACTCAGGAGGCTGAGGCATGAGAATAGCTTGAACCCGGGAGGTGGAGGTTGCAGTGAGCCAAGATCACGCCATTGCACTTGAGCCTGGGCAATGAGAGTGAAACTCGTCTCAAAAAAAAAAAAAAGAAAAAAAAAAAAAAAGACATATATCTTTAAGGAATTTGGCTCATGCGGTTAAAGGCTGGCAAATTGTTAATCTACAGCTGCAGCAGTTCACCAGGCTGGAAACTCAGGCAGGCACTGATGCTATAGTCTCAAGGCAGAATTTCTCATTTTCTGAAAAACTCAGTTTTTGCTCTAAGGCCTCTCAACTGACAGGATGAAGCTCATTCACACAATCCAGGGTAATCTCTTTTACTTGGTCAACAGATTGTCTGTAACCCCAGCACTTTGTGAGACTGAGGTTGGAGGATCTCTTGAGCCCAGGAGTTTGAGACCAGCCTGGACAACATAGGGAGATCCCATCTCTACAAATAATACAAAAATTAGTTGGGCATGGTGGCACGTGCCTGCAGCCTTCCAGCTACTTGGGAGGCTGAGGTGGGAGGATTGCTTGAGTCCAGGAGGTCGAGGTTGCAGTGAGCTACGATTGCGCCACTGCACTCCAGCCTGGGCAACAGAGAGAGAACTTGTCTCCAAAAAAGAAGTCCACAGATTGTAATTATATCCACAAAACAACTCCACTGCAACACCCATTTGAGGATGTGCATTTGAGGATGGAAGCAAGAATGAATATGTGTGTCCCACCTCGTGCTTTACCCACCTGGCACAACTTCCAGGAAGGGCCTTATGCAGAGCCCACTCCTTTATGTCACTCAGGTTCCTGCTCAAAGGGCTCCTCTTAGGATGTCCCTGCCTGATCACCGAGTCCAGAACAGCCCCCTCAGTCACTGTCTAGCTTGTCTGATTCTGCTAATTTCCCATAAGAGAAGTGGCATGTCACCATCTCCACCACCCACTATTGGTTAAGCAACTTGAGTAGCTTGGGACCTCAGCCTCCCAAGTAGCTGGGACCACAGGCATGTGCCACCACACCTGGCTAATTTTTTTGTATTATTATTATTATTATTTTTTGCAGAGATGAGGTCTCACTGTCACACAGGCACTATTGGTTAAGCAACCAATAGTGCGTGGTGGAGGTGGTGACATGCCACTTCTGTTCTGAATCCCAGGCCAGTCCAGATTCAAGGTGAAAGAAATTAAGCTCTTCCTCTTGCTGAAGACAATGACAAGGACTTTGCGGCTATTACCTTTAAGCGATCTGGGTTAGAATCTGATATTCTGCATTTTCAAGACGCTGCTGGTCCGAGGACCACATCTTGAGTATCCACTTCTTACAGCTCATGGCTAGAAAAGTCCCTTTCTTCCCTAAATTTTAAATGAGCACCTACTATGTGCCAGGATTCATTTTCACCCACGGTAGTGTTTAATTACTTCATTGTGTGGCTGCAGCAAGGTTCGGCACCTCTCTGTTTTTAATCTCCCCCCTCCCTCTTCACCCCAGACCTAGCTGGGCACCTACCCTGTTGCCTCCCACCTACTCCAAGGGGCCCTGGCCTTGCCCCTGGCTCATCTGTGGGGTGAACCAGGTGGAGCCACCCCAGTAGAGAAGGAGCAGAATCTGTGCATCTCAGCTTGCTGGCAGCTCCAGGGCCCTCCAATGTGCTGTAGGACCTGAATTGGATCAGGCAGGGCTACATGGTATGTAGGTAGCCCTTAGTTGGGGAAGGAGATTTTGGGCATCTCCCCAAAATCTGATCAATCACAGGAGGAATACCTATCCTGATTTTCTCATTCAGCAGCTCCATCCTTCAGACTTACTCCCATCTTGGGACTGGGCTTGAGGACCCACACCTGTAATCCCAGCACTGTGGGAGGCCGAGGCGGGCAGATCATGAAGTCAGGAGTTGGAGACCAGCCTGGTAAATATGGTGAAACCCTGTCTCTACTAAAAACACAAAAATTAGCCAGGCGTGATGGCAGGTGCCAGTAATCCCAGCTACTTGGGAGGCTAAGGCAGAAGAATAGCTTGAACCTGGAGGCGGAACTTGCAGTGAGCTGAGATCACGCCACTGCACTCTAGCCTTGGCGACAGAGCGAGCCTCCACCTCAAAAACAAACAAAAAACCTTAAAAAAAACCCCAAACACCAAAAAAAAACCCAAAAACCCTGTCACCCTCATCTTAGTGCCTGAGGGCGAAGAACACCCAATACAGGATTTCAGGACAGTATTTGAACAAGATGTGTCCACTTTAAGGCCAACATGCCATTTCCCAGATAGGAAGACCCAGTCCCGGAGACCCAGCACTGCCCACAGTCAGAGCAAGGACTGGGGCAGAACGAGGAATCCACCCAGAGTCCCTTGGCTCTGTCTTCCCATGTCTGCCCTCTGTCCACCCACTTCTTGCCCCCCATGCCTCCCACTCTTGCCCCCGATGCCTCCTACCCCTCTCACTCTTGCCCCCCATGCCTCCCACCCCACCTTCTACACTGAATAATTCTTCCCATTATAGTGATCCCAGAGTCAGCTACTTAAGAATCTTGGCTGGGCGGGGTGACTCACGCCTGTAATCCCAGCACTTTGGGAGGACGAGGTGGGTGGATCCCCTGAGGTCAGGAGTTCAAGACCAGCTGACCAAAATGGCGAAACCCCATCTCTACTAAAAACACAAAAATTAGTTGGGTGTGGTGGTGGGCGCCTGTAATCCCAGCTACTCGGGAGGCTGAGGCAGAAGAATAGCTTGAACGTGGCGGTGGAGGTTGCAGTGAGCCGAGTTCATGCCACCTCACTCCAGCCTGGGCAACAGAGCTAGACTCTGTCTCAAAAACAAGACAAAACAAAACAAACACCCAAAAAATGAAAAACCCCCACTCACCCTCATCTTAGTGGCTGAGGACTGAGAACACCCAACTGGGGATTTGAGGACAGTATCTGGACAAGATGTGCCCCCTTTAAGGCCAACATCCCATTTCCCAGATAGGAAGACTGAGTCCAGGAGACCCAGCACTCGCAGTCAGAGCAACGACAGGGCGCAACGAGGACTCCACCCAGAGTCCCTTGGCTCTGCTCTCCCATGCCTGACCCCGTCAGCTCACGGCCCCTCTCGCTCTTGCCCCCCATGCCTCCCACCCCACTTTCTACGCTGAGTAAGATCCTAGAGTCAGCTCCTTAAAGGTCTTGGCCGGGCGCAGTGGCTGACACCTGTAATCCTAAAACTTTGGGAGGCTGAGGCGGGTGGATCGCCTGAGGTCACGAGTTCACCATCCTGGCTAACACGGTGAAACCCCGTCTCTACTAAAAATACAAAAAATTAGCCAGGCGTAGTGTCGCATGCCTGTAGTCCCAGCTACTCGGGAGGCTGAGGCAGGAGAATGGCGTGAACCCGGGAGGCGGAGCTTGCAGTGAGCCGAGATCGCGCCACTGCACTCCAGCCTGGGTGACAGAGCGAGACTACGTGTCAAAAAAGAAAAAAACAAAAAAAAGAGTCTTGATGAGTTTCACTTGCTGCTGAAGGCTTCTTTTCTTTCTATCTAGCTTCCTAATCCTCATTGCTGTGCATGCAAATAATTCTGCTTTGCATTAAAACAAACAAAACCGACCACAGTTTCCTGGTTTACTCTTCCAGTTCTCTTTATCCCCAGAATCTGACCTGGGTAATCCTCAGCGAGGCTGGATTCTTCGTTCTTTGTTCCTGCTCCTAGCCGTCATGTGTCAACCCAGCCCTGGGCTGGCTGGAGGCAGGACTTGGACTTCTGCCGGGTTGTGCAGTCAGACGCCAGAGACTCCCTTCTCGAAGTCTCCTAATTCTGCACCGAAAAATGGTGCATGGCGTCCTCCCAGCCCATGTGTGGGAGATGTTTGGGTGCCAGATTGGCCTGCCTGGTCCTCCTTGCCTGACACCTGAATTCCCAACCTCATGATTTATGTGGCCTTGGCAGGGCAGGGGTAGCTGTAAACGTGGGGTCCCAGAGTCTCCTAGGCCCCAGGTTCAAGCAGGAGATACTGATCCCTGAAGATCCCGTTCCCACTCTGAACTGTGCCACTGACTTGGTTCCTCTTTGCACCCAGCTGGGACCGCCTGCAGGTTTTGGCCGGCTGTCCAGGCAGGGAGGAGGCAGCCAGGCCTATGGCCTACAGGGATTGGCTACCCCTGACTGGCCATCCCAGCCCAGCCTTGCCTAGGTGAGGGGCCAAGTACAAAGAAGCCCCAGGAGGAGGGAAGAGGAAGTTGTGTGGGACAAGCTGCTCCCGACAGGAGGTGCTAGGCTGGAACTGTCGGGGCTGGAGGGTCCTGGTCTGGGAGAGGGAGCGGCACTGCCCATGGCTGGGGTGGCTCCAGGGAGCTGGTCCTGGTGGGGCTGATGGGTTCCTGGTAACTGAAACCAAGCCCCTGGCAGCCTGTAGTGATTCAGGCTGGGCCTTTCGGGACTCTAAGCCTTCTTCTCTCTTTCTCTCTCCCCTCTCTCTTCTTTTTTTTTTTTTTTTTTTTTTTTTTTTTTTGAGACGGAGTCTTGCTCTGTGCCCCAGGCTGGAGTGCAGTGGCGCGATCTCGGCTCACTGCAAGCTCCGCCTCCCGGGTTCACGCCATTCTCCTGCCTCAGCCTCCCCAGTAGCTGGGACTACAGGCGCCCACCACCTCGCCCGGCTAATTTTCTTGTATTTTTAGTAGAGACGGGGTTTCACCGTGTTAGCCAGGATGGTCTCGATCTCCTGACCTCGTGATCCGCCCGTCTCGGCCTCCCAAAGTGCTGGGATTACAGGCTTGAGCCACCGCGCCCGGCCCCTCTCTCTTCTTTACTGTCTTTTCTTTCCACCTCTTCTCCTGGCTGTTGCTGGGTCTCCCTCTCTGCTTTCAGCCCTTGTTTTCTCATCTCTGAGCTCTCCCTGCCTCCAGCACCTCCCGTCCCGGCCCCTGTCCAATCTCCCCGAAGCTCCCTGGGCTCTTTTCTGAGCCTCAGGACTTCATCCTCCATCCCGTCTGCCCTGCAGGATGCCGACGCTGAGCCTGTCCTGGCTGGGCCTCGGGTCGGTGGCAGCGTCCCCGTGGCTGCTCCTACTGCTGGTCGGGGCCTCCTGGCTCCTGGCCCGCGTCCTGGCCTGGACCTACGCCTTCTATGACAACTGCCGCCGCCTCCGGTGTTTCCGGCAGCCTCCCAAACGGAACTGGTTTTGGGGTCACCTGAGCATAGTGAGTGTGGCAGCAGGACGGGTCTGGGGTCTCAGGGTGGATGGACTTGTAGAGGGGCAGGAATGGGGCTCAGGGAGCTGGATATTGAGGGTGGGTTTGGGTCTGGGACATCAGAGGAGTGAGGGAGGCCGAGGGGAGCCCCTCTTCCCTCACTGACCCAACCAGATTCATTCCTCCTCTCTGTCCACTCCACGGCCCCAGGCCTTTTTCTTTCTCTCTCTTCCCCACCCTAAGCCTGCTTTGGCTCAAGTTCCTGCCTCTCTTCCCCACGTTAATGCATCCTTGTTCTACTTGGGGATTCTAGGGTGGACTGCACAGAGCAGGTACACCCTGGCGGGCCATAATCTTTGGTTTTTTTTTGAGGCCGGATCTCGCTCTGTCACCCAGGCTGGAGTGCCATGGTGCATTCATATCTCACTGCAGCCTTGACCTCCTGGGCTCAACCTATCCTCCCATCTCAGCCTCCCCAGTAGCTGGGACTACAGCTGTGCACCAACAGACCTGCTAGTTTTTTTGATTTTTTTGTAGAGACAGCATCTCACTATGTTGCCCAGAGTGGTCTCAAACTCCTGGTCTCAAGGAGTCCTCCCATCTCGGCCTCCCAAAGTGCTGGGATTGCAGGCATGAGCCACTGCACTTAGCTCAGTCCACAGTCCTTATCACTAGACTTGAGGCCTCCCAAGGGGAACAGTCCAGAGTCCACTCTGCCTGGCCCATCTCTGTGGGCCTCAGGCTGATGTCTACTGCTCTCTGGGCTGCTGCCTCCCCTTAGGATTTGCTATTTCCACCGACTCCACCCACAGGGCACAGCTGGGCCAGTGGAGAGATGTGGCTGGTTTCTCCCTCCCTGTCTTGACTCAGGCACTTTTTTTTTCGTATGTTTCCCCCAACCCCTAAGATATGTCAGTGGGCCCCATGGCTCCGTTTGGATAAAAGTTGACTATTTTTCCTTTCAGAAGGGATCATTCTGGCCTCTGCCCTAACAGCCCTCATCCTAGCCTCCTCCCTAGAGGACTTTCCTCCATGCTGTGCTGGCCCCCTGCTGCCAGAGTCGTACCTTGGATTGGTCATTACCCATAAGGGCGCCAACTCCAATGCCATTGATTCAAGTGGTGCCTTCTCTGACCACAATCCCCTCTCTCCTTCCAGCTTTTTCTCTTCACTATCTCTTATCTGTGTGTGTGGTTTTTTTTTTTTTTTTTTTGAGACGGAGTCTTACTGTGCCACCCAGGTTGGAGCATAGTGGCGTGATCTCGGTTCACTGCAATCTCTGCCTCCCAGGTTCACGTGATTCTCCTGCCTCAGCCTCCCAAGTAGCTGAGATTATAGGCACCCACCATTATGTCTGGCTAATTGTATTTTTAGTAGAGATGAGGTTTCACCATGTTGGCCAGGCTGGTCTCAAACTCTTGACCTCAAGTAGTCTGCCTACCTTGACCTCCCAAAGTGCTGGCATGAACCACCACACCTGGCCCACTGCTTCTCGTCTTACATCCTGTTGGGACTTCCGGTTCTCTCTACCCCTCAGTCCAGCAGCTTCTTGCAGTCCTTCCTTGGCTTACTTCCTATTATTTGCTCATGGACTGGTTTCTTGCCTATGGGGCTTTCCTTCCTGGACATTTGGAAGACCTTTGCCTTGGATGAACTCAATCGCCCATGTTCTCTCTTTATTTTTCATTTTTTATAGAGCCAGGGTCTCACTACGTTGCCCAGGCTGGTCTTGAACCCCTGGGCTCAAGCAATCCACCTGCCTCAGCCTCCTAAAGTGCTGGGATTACAGGCATGAGCCATGGCATCTGGCCACCCATGTTCTCTTATCTCTTCTCTACAACAATATTAGAAAAGGTCACAAAGCAGTTCAGATGGGTGATATGCAAATTGCCTCCCACCCACCTCCTGTGCACCTCATTCTGCACCCAGACCTTCAGCCTGCTTGCTCTGCTGTCCACTCAAGGACAAAGAGTTGCCTCCACTCACTCCCTTTGTTTCTCTGATCGCCCCTCACCTGCTCTCCACCCCATCCTGCTCTCTTGAGGTGACCGTGATCCCCGAGTCCCCATATCCCATGGACACCTCCCAGCCCCAATGCATCTACCTGCCAGCAGCTTTCTGAATTTGTGACCACTGGGTCCTTCTGAGAACCTCCTTTTTTCTTGGTTCCAGGACATTGCCCTTCCCTGGTGTCCTCTGACCTTCGTGTGTCCCCGTGTCTCTGCTGTTGGCTCCTCACTACTGGGAGATCCCCCATGGTCCTAGTCATTCCTCCCTCTTCCCTGTCTCCTGAGGTCACCTCCTTATCCAGGGCTCCAGCTTCCAAGTTGACCATCAGTTCCCTCCAGAAGTGAGCTCTAAGTTTACATCTCTCCTGAGCTGGAGGTCATTGCTTCTCTCCCCTTGGGGAGGGGCTGGTCTCAGGAACACTTCAATTCCAACTAGTTTGAATCTGAACTCATGGCCCCCCTCCCTACACTGTTCCCCATCTTGGTCTAGTCCTTCAGTTTCCCAGACTCCACCCTTTGGGGTCTCCTGATGTTCTCTTTCTCTCATCTGCACATCCTGTCCCTCAGCACGTCTGCTGCTGCTGCCTGGCACAATCTCTCCTCCGTCAGTTCCTTCTCTGAGTCCTCCTGCCTCCCCTGGTTCCATTCCTTGCCACCTCTCTCTGGATGCCTCCCAGCTGGGCTCCTTCGTGGTCTCCCTGTTACCACACCAGTCCTTTCACCCACTCTCTCCTCAGCCTTGGCCAGACTTTTCTTTTCTTTCCTTTCTTTGCCCTTTTCCTTTCCCTTTGCCTTTTCCTTTCCTTTCCCTCCCTCCCCTCCCTCCCCTCCCTCCCCTTTCCGCTTTCCCTTCCCTTTCCTTCTTTCCTTCTTTTCTTTTCTGTTTTTTTGAGACAAGAGTCTCGCTCTGTCACCCAGCTGGAGGTGCAGTGGGCCAGAATCTCCAGCTCACTTGACAAGCTCCGCCTCCCGGTTTACGCCATTCTTCCTGCCTCAGCACTCACCAGGTAGGCTTGGAGACTACAGGCGTCCGCCACCTCCCCGGCTGTTTTTTGTATTTTTTTTTAGTAGGAGACGGGGTTCACCGTTGTTAGCCAGGTGATGGTCTCTCTGTTTCTTTTTCTGGTGGTTATAAAAGTCTGGTGTGGATATTGGTGTTGTGTTTTTTTTGTTAAGGAAACCGTTATAAAATTGACAAAAGCTTCTTTCTATTATTAACTTACAAATCCATTAGATGTATACTATCAATTGGTATGGTCTTAGTTTTTGTTCGTGGCAGTTTGAAATAGAGTGACAGAGATATTGCGTAATTTAATGAAAATTTTTTCTGTGAATCTCATAATCAATAAAGACAATTTCAGATTTTTTTTTTTTTTGAGACAAGGTCTCATTGTGTCACCTAGGCTGGAGTGCAGTGTTGTTATCTCGGCTCACTGCAACCTCCACCTCCTGGGTTCAAACAATCCTCCTGCCTCAGTCTCCCTAGTAGCTGGGACTAAAGGCATGTACCACCATGCCCGGCTAATTTTGTATGTGTGTGTATATATTTTTCCAAGATGGAGTTTTGCTCTGTCATCAAGGCTGGAGTGTAGTGGCATGATCTCGGCTCGCTGCAACCTCTGCCTCCTGGGTTTAAGTGATTCTCCTGCCTCAGCCTGCAGAGTAATTGGGATTACAGGCCCGTACCACCACACCCAGCTAATTAAAAAAACTTTTTTTGTGTGTGTTTTTAGTAGAGATGGGGTTTCACCATGTTGGCCAGGCTGGTCTCGAACTCCTAACCTCAGGTGATCTGCCTGCCTCAGCCTCCCAAAGTGCTGGGATTAGAGGTGTGAGCCATGGCACCCAGCCGAGATGTTACTTCTTGACTATTACATTGATAAAGGCTTTAAAAAAAAACATAGAAGGCTTTCAGCGTGTAATGCTGCACCTTCATACAAAGCAGACAGGCGTGTGGATATTTATAAAATTCTTCTTCAAAGTAATTTTGCAGTATACATCAAAAACATCAAACTATACAAATAACTTATTTGGAGGGTGCTATATGCAGTTGATAATCAGGTATATGTAACGTAATTACATGAGACTTCCATTGCATTTGTTATGCTACTGATAAAGAGTAAACATGGTTTCAAAACTAGTGAACTAATTATGGTAAAGCCATATGAACCACTGCAAGTTCCCTGAGAGCAAAAGTGATTTCACCCGCCCTATTCCCTGCTCTATCACCTGAATGTAGAATGGACACCATCTACCCTGAATAACGATTTGTGGAATGACTTGGCAGGATATGAAAACATTAATAATTATGCTTGTGAAGACTGATGGAAGAATAATGAAAACATCAAGCTACATGAAAACATGACACAGATTTTATAGAATGAGATCTCAGGTTTTAAAATTTGTCATTGGAGTTTAAGTAAAAAGATGAGATGACCGGCGCAGTGGCTCATGCCTGTAATCCCAGCATTTTGGGAGGCCGAGGCAGGTGGATCACCTGAGGTCAGGAGTTTGAAACCAGCCTGGCCCATGTGGTGAAACCCCGTCTCCATTAAAAATATGAAGATTAGTCAAGTGTGCTGATGGGTGCCTATAATCTCAGATACTCGGGAGGCTGAGGCAGGAGAATCGCTTGAACCCGGGAGGCAGTGTCCAAAGCCTGAGGGCCCTTTCTTGCCCAGCTTGCGTGTTGATCCTGTAGGACCCAAGGTCCTGTGGCTCTGGATGCCCTTCGTCATCTTTTATTACTTTTACTTATTTGCCAACTTCCATTCTGGGGATCCTTGGAGAGACTCAGGTGAGTTTCTACCTTGGAGGCACCCCCAATCTTGTGGCCACAGAAGTAGACTGAGACACTCCACGTCCTCTGTGGTCAGGGCTGGCTTGAAGGAGAGATGGACTGTGGGACCCTTGAGGGGAATCAGATTTTCTGCCACTGGGGCAGGCAGGCAGGCTTCCTGGAGGAGGGGTTTTTGGAAGTGGGTCTGGAACGATGAGTCGGAATTTTTTAAGCAAAGACGAGAAAGAGAAAGATAGTTTCGTGTGGAGGTTGGGCCCACTCGAAGACTTGGAGGTGAGAGAGCAAGCACCTGGCTTTTGAGCAGCAAGATAGAGCTTGATGCCACCAGAGCAATCAGGGTGAGAGGCAGAGGAAAGAGGGAGAGGAGGAGATTGATTCTGAGGACAACAGGGAGCCATGGAGGGTGTGTGAACAGGAGAGGGGAATTATCAGCTGCCTGCCTCCTTCCCTTGCCCCACCTGGTTTCTACCCCCAACCCCCGGCCTTTTTTTTAAAGCGCCTTTCTATAGCACCCCTTGCAGAAGTATCTGCAATTCAAGTTTTGCTTCTAGAGAGCCCACACTAAGACAGTGTCTTTTGATTCTCCAGTCCCTCCCTCCTCTCCCACTCACCTGCTACTTCTGCTCTTGTTCCCTGACTGGTTTCTACCTATTTTCTTCCACTTCCTTCTGGATCTTTCTGGGTATCTCCTTCAGTCTTTCCCAGCTGGCTCCAGCCTGGGCACAGGTGTGGGAGTGATGGGAGTATGAGACAGAACATTCTCCCATGAACTGAAATTCAGGGCTATCCTTGGGGTGGGACGTGGAGCCTGGTCTGGGGTGGTGCAGCCAGGTTTGGGAGAAGGGCTGTGTCTACATCTGCCCCCTGCTAGCTTGCTGCAAAGCTGGGGGTACCCACCTAGAGCTAGGGGCAGGAGGCTGTGCTGGGACTGGGGGACAGGGCAGAAAGTTCAATGGACTGCGATTATGAATTTGGGATAAACAGCAAGTGGGGTGAATGGTCAAGTGTTGGTGGGGAGAGACAGGGAGAGAGAGATGGAGAGTTGGACTTGGGAGAAACAGAGTTAGGGAAAAAGATGCACACACAGAGACAGAGAGAGAAGCAGTGAGAGACAGAGTGAAGGAGAGAGAGAGGAGAGGGAGAGAAAAACACAGAAAAAGGGACACATAAACAGAAAGTAAAAGAAACACATACACGCACATATCTATATCTGTCATTGACCATATCTGTCATCTACGTAGCCATCACTCATACATCTCTCTCATCTATACCTGTCCCTCTTATCTCTCTATCCATGTATCCTATTTATCATGTATGGATTGGTCACTTACCTTTCTCTTTCTCTTATCTATTTGTCTATCCTATTATCTACCTACTTACTTACCTACCTACCTACCTACCTACCTACTACCTATCCATTCATCTATCCTATCTGTGCATCCATACATCTATCCATCCATCTATCCTGTTATCTACCTACCTACTTATATACCTACCTAGTACCTACCTACCTATCTACCTACATACCTACCTTCCTACTTACCTATCCATCCATCCATCCCTCCTATCTGTGCATCCATCCATGTATCCTATTATCTATCTATCTATCTACTTTTTTTTTTCAAGATGGAGTCTCGCTCTGTCGCCCAGGCTGGAGTGTGGTGGCATGATCTTGGCTCACTGCAACCTCCACATCCCGGGTTCAAGCGATTCTCGTGCCTCAGCCTCCCGAGTAGCTGGGATTACAGGCATGTGCCACGACAACCAGCTAATTTTTGTATCTTTAGTAGAGACAGGGTTTCACCATATTGGTCAGGATGGTCTTGAACTCATGACCTCATAATCCACCCACCTCGGCCTCCCAAAGTGCTGGGAATACACGCATTAGTCACCACACCCGGCAAGTCTATCTATCTTCTATCTATCTGCTTGTATATCTACCGACTGACCAAACTACCTACCCATATATCCATCCATCCATCCATCCATCCATCCATCCATCCATCCATCCATCCATCCTATTTGTGTGTCCATCTGTCTATTGAATCTATGTATGTATGTATGTATGTATGTATCTATCTATCTATCTATCTATCTATCTATCTATCTATCTATCATCTTCCTCCCTCCCTCCCTCCCCACCTACCTACTGATCCATCCGTGCATCCGCCCACCCTATCTGTGGGTCCATCCGACCATCTATCTTATTATCTATCTCACTATCTTATTATCTGTCTGTCTGTCTGTCCGTCTGTCTGTCTATCTGTCTGTCTATCTATCTATCTCCATCCCTTACTCCCTGTCCACCTACTTACCGATCCATCCATGCATCCACCCATCCTATCTGTGGGCCCATCCAACCATCTATCTTATTATCTATCTATCTATCTATCTATCTATCTATCTATCTATCTATCCATCCATCCGTCCATCCATCCATCCATCCATCCATGCATCCATCCATCATCTACATATCTATCTAGAGAAAGACACAGAGAGGAAGAGAGTGAGGGAACAGAGAAGCACATAGACACAGACATAGGAAGAGACAGGCAGAGACCAATATCTCAGGTCAAAGGGCTGAGTAGTTTGGGGTTGTGTGGTGGGTAGGGGGGGTGCAATGGGCAGTGGTAGCATCTGAGGCCCCCTGCAGGCCTGTTGTCAGCCTTGTCTATCCCCAGATGCAGGGCAATGAGGAGGACATGAGGCTGATAGAGGATCTGGGCCACCACTTCCACGATGTCCAACTCTGGTGGCTTGGGCCTTTCCACCCTGCCCTGCATCTCGTCCACCCAACGTTCGCTGCCCCTGTGCTCCAGGCTTCAGGTATCTTTCTCAGGAGGCTATGCTGCTGCCTCTTCCCTGCCTCTGCTCCCAGCCCTTCCAACCCTTGGACAGGCCATGCTGAGCAGAAAAATGGGCACATCCAAAAGAGATCATGGCTCTGCACTAACCTGCTAGGTGACTCTGGGCAGGTCCCTGGTGCTCTCTAGCTGCTGAGGCTTCTTTTAGTTGTGAGTGAAGAAAACTCAACCCTGTGTGGTCTAAGCAAAGAAAGAGAATGCATTGACTGTAAAGTAAAAGTCAGGAAGGAAAAGTGAAGTCCAGGAAGGGTGGTCTTCAGGCATGGCTGGATCCAGGCCTTCATAATGCTAGTCTTCATCTCTTAGCTCTGTATCCCTCTGTGATGGTTTCACAGATGGTTTCACTCTCATGCTGTTACAGATAAGTCCCAGAAGCTCAACCCCCATGGAAAATTCCATGTAATTCCAGGAAAATTTCTAGGATTCCCCTCAATTGACCTGGCCTGGGTGCCAGGACCAATTTCTTATCCAGTCACTGCAGCTTGATTGCATAGGTTTAGGGTCATATGCTCAGCCCTGGAGCAGGGGATGAGAGTCCTCTCAACGACTTGGATTGAGAGTGGGGAAGGCATGAGGAGGATGGATGCTGGACAGGCAGATACCACCATTCACCAGACATCTATTCACCAGCCTCCCTGTGAGATAGGCATTTCCTGAGTAAGAAAACTGAGGTGCAGAGAGGCGCAATGACTTCTCAAGGTCACATAGCATATCGAGGCCTCCCTCTTAGTTCTTTTTTTAAATTTTTTTGAGACAGGGCCTCACTCATTAATGCTTAGTGTGGAGTGTGGCAGGATACTGAGGAAGCCTAAATCAAGCCTAGGTTACACGTGGGACGCTAATAGGACCAGATTTAAATCCTATCTGGGGCCCATCTGTAGTGCACGTGGAAGTCATTTTAGACTCTCCCACGTCCATGTCTGAGCATGTCACATCAGGACAGGTCATGTATATTGTGTCCGTGTCAGAACATGTCAACGCATCTCAGGCTATGCCACATATCTCAGGTCCGTGTCAGAAAATGTCAAAGAGTACCGGGCAGACAGGATGTCCTCGTCCTAAGATTTTTTTTTTTTTTTATGGAGATGGCGTCTGGCTCTATCTTCCAGGCTGGAGTGTAGTAGAATGATCTTGGCTCACTGCAACCTCTGCCTCCCCACTTCAAGCGATTCTCCTGCCTCAGCCTCCCGAGTAGCTGGGACTATAAGCACCCGTCACCCCGCCCAGCTAATGTTTTTGTACTTTTTAGTAGAGATGGGATTTCACCGTGTTGCCCAGGCTGGTTTTGAGCTCCTGAGCTCAGGCAATTTGCTGCCTCAGCCTCCCAAAGTGCTAGGATTACAGGCGTGATCCCCCGTGCCCGGCCAGGGTGTCCTAGGTCCCTGTAAAGGCATTTTGTAGAGCGTTGAGCCATGCTCAGGTATTGCAGAACATGTTGGATCATGTAGGAGCCATGCCAAGGCATGGTGGGGTGTTCTGTGCCATGTTGGGCTGTGTCATTGTCGTACTGCACCACTGCAGCCTGGTCTGGTCCCCACTCTCCTCCTCTGTCTTCCCTCCTTCCTTTGCCCTTGACCCTGTTCCTGCTTTACTGGACCTGGAGGGTGGAAGTGCAAATCCCTGGCTAGGAGCCTCCCCCTACACTCAAAGTCCTCCCCCTGTCCCTCTCCATAACCCCTGATGTTCCTTATTCATGTCAGTTGCTGTTGCTCCCAAGGATACGATTTCCTATAGCCCCCTGAAGCTCTGGCTGGGTGAGTAACTAGAAGAGTGGGGATGGGGACAACCTTCTGGGGCCAGGGGAAGGTGCTGTCCTTGCCCATTGCCCTTGGCTGCCTCTACTAGGGGACGGGCTCCTGATTAGTGCCGGTGACAAGTGGAAATGGCACCGCCACCTGCTGACACCCGCCTTCCACTTCAAAATCCTGAAGCCCTATGTGAAGATTTTCAATGAGAGCGTGAACATCATGCACGTGAGTGCCACAAAGCCGGGTCCCCTCTGGGGTCTGGGGAAAGGAGAAGTGACCTCAGGCAGATCTGGTCTGAAATGCTGGCTCTGTTGGGTGGCTTTAGTGCCATAGCTTTTCCTCCCCAGGCCTTGGTTTCTTCATGTGTAAAATGGGAATAATAATTTCTACTGAAAAGGTGGTCAAGATCACGTACCGAAGTGACGTTCTTGGCACATGGTAGGTGTTCAGAAGGCATTAATTACTAGTCACCCTCACAGAAGCCTTGCAAACTAAAGGCAGTTATGATGAAATTTGGATAATGGCAGGGCGCGGTGGCTCACGCCTGTAATCCTAGCACTTTTGAGGCCGAGATGGGTGGGTTACTTGAGTCCAGGAGATTGAGGCCAGCCTGGCCAACATGGTGAAACCCCATCTCTACTAAAAATACAAAAAAAAAAAAATTAGCTAGGTATGGTGGTGCATGCCTGTAATCCCAGCTACTTGGGAGGCGGAGGCAGGAGAATTGCTTGACTGGATTAAGAAAATGTGGCACATATACACCATGGAATACTATGCAGCCATAAAAAAGGATGAGTTTGTGTCCTTTGTAGGGACATGGATGCAGCTGGAAACCATCATTTTTAGCAAACTATCACAAGAACAGAAAACCAAACACCGCATGCTCTCACTCATAGGTGGGAACTGAACAATGAGATCACTTGGACTCGGGAAGGGGAACATCACACACTGGGGCCTATCATGGGGAGGGGGGAGGGGGGAGGGATTGCACTGGGAGTTATACCTGATGTAAATGACGAGTTGATGGGTGCTGACGAGTTGATGGGTGCAGCACACCAACATGGCACAAGTATACATATGTAACAAACCTGCACGTTATGCACATGTACCCTAGAACTTAAAGTATAATAAAAAAAAAAAAAAGAAACCACTTTAAAACTCACTGGCCTCAGTGTTCCAAGCAGACACTTCCATTTGCCCCTTATTTTCCAGGAGGCTAGCCTAGGTTCACTACCGCAGTGAAGTCTGAGTTTCAAGAGAGTGAGCAGAAACATTTTAGTACCTCCTGATGCTAGTTCAGAAGTAGCACACTAGCATTTTTACCACATTCTCCTGGCGAAACCCAGTTTCAAGACCAGCTCAAATTCAAGAAATGGAGACTCAGGTTCTGCCTGCAAATGGAAGGAGGTGCCAAGTCTCATCACCAAGGGTGAGGGGCAAAAAGTTGTGGACATTCCTGCAATCACTTGCCTCTGTGCTAATGATGAGGATGATAATGATAGCTAACATTTATTGAGCACTTACTGTATACCAGAAACTATATGCCAATTCCATGATCGATGTTGTCTAATTTAATATTCACAACCCTATGAGGTAGAGATGCTCATAATTGCCACATTATGGATGAAGAAACTGTCAGTCAGAGAGATTAGGGAGCTTGCCTAAGTTTACAGTTAGGAAATGAGCTAAAAGTGGTGGAGAAAGGGTTCTAACCTGGTTATCTGGCACCAAAGCAGATCATTTTTTTTTGAGATGGAGTCTCACTCTGTCATCAGGCTGCAGTGCAGTGGCATCATCTCGGCTCACTGCAACCTCCGCTTCCTGGGTTCAAGTGATTCTCTTGTGTCAAGCCTCCTGAGTAGCTGGGATTACAGGTGCCTGCCATCACACCCAGCTAGTTTTTGTATTTTTTAGTTGAGATGGGATTTCACCATGTTGGCCAGGATGGTTTCGATCTCCTGACCTCATGATCTGCCTGTCTCACCTTCCAAAGTGCTGGGATTAGAGGATTAGAGGTGTGAGCCGCTGTGCCCAACCCAAAGCAGATCATCTTAACTATTACTGAAGATTTGACAGAGGGACCTAAAGAGGACAGTGGGTTGACTAAGGGTGCATAGGCAAGGAGCAGAGCTGGAACTTGGACCCAGGTCACCTGACCCCCAGACTTGGATCTTCATGTCCTAATAGTAACAGCTTCTGTCCCTCACAAGCTAGGTCCTCCTTGGGGATGGGTACCTGGGGAAGAGGAGCAGAAGTTGGTTCTGAGGGAGTCCATTCTGGATGTTGGCGATGGGAAGGGACTCAGGGGAGCCAAGGCTCAGTTCTGGCTCTGTCCCCTTCTCGGTCCAGGCGAAATGGCAACGCCTGGCCTTGGAGGGCAGTACCCGTCTGAACATGTTTGAGCACATCAGCCTGATGACCTTGGACATTCTGCAGAAATGCGCCTTCAGCTTTGACAGCCATTGTCAGGAGTGAGTTCTTCCCTAGGACCTGAGATCTTGGCCACGGACCCACGGGAGTAGGTTGGGGAGAGAGGACTGATCAGGGCATCTGGAAGTGCCTTCTTGGAGAAAATGAGTCAGAATTGAGCATGGAAGTACAGGGAAGGGGACAAGAAAGATCAGTTCTCCAGGTAGGTAGAACTGTTTGGGTAATGGCAAGGAGGCTAGGATGAGCAGAAGCACGTGCAATAGCCATCAAGGGGACACCTTGGAAATGAGATTGCAGGGGTCAGCAGTAGCTACAATTTAAGGATATTGAAAAGTCACGCAAAGGGGTATGAACTTTATCCAAGGCTCCCAGGGAGTCATGGGAGGCGTTTAAGAAGATAAGGGTCACAGTCAGTGCTGAGCTTGGATGTTTGACTCTGTGGAAGATTGACTGTTATGTAGACACAGGAAGCAAGGAGACTGTGGAGAGGAAGAGGCCAGAGGTTGGTGGAGAAAATGGGGCAGATTTGAGAGAAACCAAGGAGAAATAGGCAGGAGCAGATGTTGCATAAGAGGGTGGGGAGATGCCCATGATGGCCAAGCTGTGCCCTGGGGATCCAGGGCAGGAGGCAGCTCAGAGAGTAGGAGGTAGAGAGTGAAGTGTGCTTGCAGGGCACCCTTTTCTGCCTGGAATGTGGTCCTGGGATTCTGGCTAGAAGATGCTCCCAGGCTTTCATATGTGTTTAGAAGCTGCTTCCTCTCCCTGGCCTGGCCCTGCAGGAAACCCAGCGAATATATTGATGCCATCTTGGAGCTCACTGCCCTCATCGTGAAACGGAACCAGCACATATTCCTGCAGGCGGACTTCTTGTACTTCCTCACTCCCAATGGGCGACGCTTCCGCAGGGCCTGTGACATAGTGCACAACTTCACAGACGCCATCATCCAGGAGCGGCGCCACACCCTCACTAGCCAGGGTGTTGATGACTTACTGCAGGCCAAGGCTAAGTCCAAGACTTTGGACTTCATTGATGTGATCTTGCTGGCCAAGGTGGGCTTCTCTGGGATCTGAATTTCAGAAGTAGAATGGACCTTGATGTGAAATGTCAGATCCATGAACTTGGACTTGATCCAGAGGGCACTGGGGAGCCATGGAAGGTGCTTGAGGAAAGGAGGGACAAGTAAGATACATTTTAGAGGTGACTCTGGAGAAGACTTCCTAGGAGGAACAAACAGGAGGCAAGATACAAGGAAAGAGTCCTGCTAGGCAGGTCTAGTGATGATAAGGGAGGAATCTTGCCTGGAATATGGATCTTCATGAACTGTTTTAGGTTAGACTGAGGTGCCTTCATGGCTGGGTGATTTAGAGGTCTTTTCTTGTCTCCAGGATGAAAATGGAAAGGAGTTGTCAGATGAAGACATAAGAGCAGAGGCTGACACCTTCATGTTTGGGGGTGAGGGTCCCAGGGTGTGATGTCACTAGGGGTAAGAGTGTCTCCATTCCAGGGATGTGGTGGGTGGACCCTGGATCACCCCATCCCATCTTCCTTCCCCACTTCCTCCTGAGGGCCTCAATGCATGGGCGCTGTCCACCCTTTGGTGCTGAAGCAGCCCAGAGACCCAAGCTTACCTGGCTGCCCCTCAGGCCATGACACTACGGCCAGTGGTCTCTCCTGGGTCCTGTACAACCTCGCGAGGCACCCGAAATATCAGGAGCACTGCCGACAGGAGGTGCAAGAGCTCCTGAAGAACCGTGATCCTAAAGAGATTGAATGGTGAGTGTGCAGGTTCTCATGTCCTGTTTCTGAGTCCCTCTCATTGGTTTAGTTCTTCAGGTGGGAAAGGAAGAGGGTCTTATTGGTGCTTGTGCTATTACTGCCTAGTAGGAATAGGTGCAGAGCTCAGAAACGGGGCCTGGTACTCAGGGCCTGGTACTCAGCCTGGAGCAAGGGAGAAGTTCTGGGATTTTTGCCTTTACTATGTATTACAATTAAAATCATTCTTTTTTTATTTTCTGTCTTTCTTTCTTTTTCTTTTTCTTTTTTTTTTTTTTGAGATGGAGTCTCACTCTGTCTTCCAGGCTGGAGTGCAGTGGCATGATCTCCGCTGACTGTAACCTCTGTCTCCCGGGTTCATGATACTCTACTGCCTCAGCCTTCTGTGCAGTTGGGATTACAGGCGTCCGCCAATATGCCTAGCTAATTTTTGTATTTTTAATAGAGACGGGGTTTCACTATGTTGGCCAGGCTGGTCTCGAAGTCCTAACCTTGTGGCTAGCCCACCTCGGCCTCCCAAAGTGCTGGGATTACAAGCATGTGCCACCACACCCAGCCGCTTTATCTTTTGGAAAGTATTTTATTTCATTTTTATGCTATACCTTTGTAATAGATCATAATACATGGTAGATTGGATTTATGTTCTTCAATCTTTCATTTTAATTTTATCTTTTTTTCTTTGAGAGATGGGCTCTCACTCTATAGCCCAGGCTGGAGTGCATTGGTGTGATCACAGCTCACTACAGCCTTGAACTCCTGGGCGCAAGAGATCCTGACACGTCAGTCTCCTCAGTAGCTGGGACCACAGGCATGCACCGCCATGCCTGGTGGATCTTTTATTCTTAAATTGACCTAGGTTTTGATGAACTTTAATTCTCCCAATTAGAATAAGATGGTTAAGTTCCTACAAAATAAAAAGCTAGATTTTTATTGTATTGCTTTGAATATATTGATTAATTTAGAAAGAAAGGACACCTTCATAATATTAAGCCATCTCATTCTAGAGTATGGAGGGGATCTTATTAAAACAATTTCATAATCTTTATGGTGATTTTCCCCTCATCTTTTTTAGCATATTAGTTTATATTATATTATAAATTTGAGACAGGGTCTTGCTGTGTCACCCAGGCTGGAGTGCCGTGGCATGGTCTCCGCTCCCTGTAGCCTCCACCTCCCAGGTTCAAGTGATTCTTGCGCCTCAGCCTCTTGAGTAGCTGGGATTACAGGCCCATGCCACCACACCCAGCTATTTTTTCATTGTTAATAGAGATGGAGTTTTGCTGTGTTGGCCAGGGTGGTCTTGAACTCTTGGCCTCAAGTAATCAACCCGCCTCAGCCTTCCAAAGTGCTAGAATTACAGGCGTAAGTCACGGCACCCGGCCCCATTATATAATTTTAAACATTTTTAAATGCAAATAGGTTAACACTTTTAAGGAGACCCTCTATGTGTTGTGTTTTGCTTAGAAATGCTTCTGAAAGTACCATATCAAGTTTTCTTCTAATACTTTTGTGACTTTGGTTTTCTCATGCTTAAATCCTTGATTCTTCTGGAATTCGTTTTGTTATTGGATTTAGGGTCAGAGGGAGATTGGAACCGCCTTTGCAAAAATTATAACTGAGGAAATTATGACAGTGAAAGAGATCAGACCTAGTCGACTCCATCTTCCTTCTAACCTTTAAGCTGTCCTTATTCATTCCTGGGCATAGGCTGAACTAACTTTGGGAAGGGATTCAGTTCATGGTTTGAGTCTGAAACAAAACTGAATATAGCCCTTTCGCGAAAAGACCCCCTGTCTTGATAAATCGGCTCTTTCTAGGCAGCAAGCAAGGTGAATCCACCGGGCGGTTACAAGTGGGTGCGAGGGTCTCTCTGGGCAGCAGGAGGGCTGTGTTTGCTCCCTGGATAATTGTTGGATGTTTCCTTAGGGATGACCTGGTGCAGTTGCCCTTCCTGACCATGTGCCTGAAGGAGAGCCTGCGGCTGCATTCTCCAGTCTCCAGGATCCAGCGCTGCTGCAACCAGGACGTGGTACTCCCGGATGGCCGGGTCATCCCCAAAGGTGCCCACAGTTGGGCAGGCGGGGAGGGCTTTGGGCAGGGTGGAGGTCCTATCGTGTGGTGGGGATCCTTGTCCTGACTGCACCTCCTCCCCGACAGGAAACACTTGCATGGTCAGCATCTTTGGGATCCATCACAACCCTTCAGTCTGGCCGGACCCTGAGGTGCTACCCCTTCCCCCTTCTCCATCCCTGGGGCTTGGTCGGGGGCGAGATCTTGTCCCAGGGAAGCAGATACTCCCTCTCTACTCCACCCACATCTGTGTTTTGTTTTGTTTTGTTTTGTTTTGTTTTGAGAGGAAGTTTCGCTCTTGTCGCCCAGGCTGGAGTGCAATGGAGAGATCTCGGCTCACTGCAACCTCCGCCTCCCGGGTTCAAGCGATTCTCCTGCCTCAGCCTCCTGAGTAGCTGGGATTGCAGGCGCCCGCCACCAAGCCCGGCTAATTTTGTATTTCTAGCAGAGACGGGGTTTCTCCATGTTGGTTAGGTTCATCTCGAACTCCCAACCTCATGAGATTCGCCCCTCAGCCTCCCAAAGTGCTGGGATTACAGGCGTGAGTCACCGCGCCCGGCTTCACATCTGTCTTATATGGGGGTGGCTGGGTGTCCTGAGAGGCCCCCACCCAACAGCTCTAACTCGCCCACTCCCCAGGTCTATGACCCCTTTCGCTTCGACCCAGAAAATCTCCAGAAGAGATCACCTCTGGCTTTTATTCCCTTCTCGGCAGGGCCCAGGTGAGGCTCAGGGGATTCTGAGGTGGGCATGGGGTGAAGGTGCCACAGGTGGAGACAAGGTCTGACTTGTGGGGCCACGTGTTTCAGGGAGTCTAGGATTTGAATAAGATCCCAGGAAAAGGGAGTGTGTGTTCTCAGACTTCCTCACTCCTACGTCTGCTGGTCTGTGTTGGGGGCCGGAGTCTAGGCCAAGCTCGGGGGATATGCAAGCCTACATGGGGGTCCCAGGCACGGGGTCCCTCTCTCTGCCCCTCAACCGGATCTGGGTGGGGTTGGGAGTCCCAGGCCACGTTCCCGGCGCGATGGGGCCGGGATGGGTGTCCTGGGCACAGTCAGAGTCCCCACCTCCTCCCCCAGGAACTGCATCGGCCAGACATTCGCCATGGCTGAGATGAAGGTTGTCCTGGCGCTCACGCTGCTGCGCTTCCGCATCCTGCCGGACCTCGCGGAGCCCCGCAGGAAGTCGGAGGTGATCCTGCGCGCGGAGGACGGACTTTGGCTACGGATGGAGCCCCTGAGCGCGAACCCGCAGTGACCCACCACTCTCAGGTCTCAGAGCCCCCGCACCCTCAGGCCTCTTTGCAGATTCCCGGGACTCAATCTGTGCCTGAGTCCCATAGCCAGCCAGCAGGGGGCGCTGGAGGACTGCAGGGATCCAGGGCCTGGCTGGGAGGGGGCGGAGTGTCTCTGAGCCAAGAGACACTTGACCCAAGTGTCTCTGAGCCAAGAGACACTTAACCCAAGGCTTGGTCTCTGACCCAAGCCTCTCTGGGTGAGCGCAGTGACCCGTGCTGAGGGCGGGTTCTCCCAGAGCCCTGGTCGGGACTGTATCCTGTGGGCGATAGGGAGCCATGGTGGGTGTTTGAGCAGGAGAGGGACCAGGGTTGAGGAGGCACCTATGGGGCAGGTTTGAGGCTCTGAGTCACTGAGGAAAACCAGAGCGGTGCTACATCCGCACTTGGTGATCTCAATTCTCATCTCCTAATCCAGTTATTTTTTTTCTGCTCACCTTAGGGTTCTTCACTGTTTTCATTGTTCTTAAATGACTGTCCTTATTAAACAATAATAAGCCTGGTTGGTTTACAGTGTGTCTGATCATTGAAAGTATCTGTATCGATTACAATGACTGTCATTTTTGTCATGGGGTCAGTGTTTCGGTCATCTTTGCCTGGTATTGGCTGCCATATTTGCATATTTGAAATAATATTCGTAGGATTTAAAGAAGACAGCCTTCTTTCTCTTTCTCTCTCTCTCTTTTTTTGTTTTTGTTTTTAGACAGAGTCTTGCTCTGTCGCCCAGGTTGGAGTGCAGTGGCACGATCTCGGTTCACTGCAGCTTCCGCTCCTGGGTTCAAGCGATTCTCCTGCCTCAGCCTCCCAAGTAGCTGGGATTACAGGTGACTGCCACCATCGCTGGCTAATTTTTGTATTTTTATTTTATTATTTTTGTTGAGACGGAGTCTCACTCTGTCGCCCTGGCTGGAGTGCAGTGGCGCGATCTCAGCTCACCGCAAGTTGCACTTCCTGGGTTCACACCATTCTCCTGCCTCAGCCTCCCGAGTAGCTGGGACTACAGGCGCCCGCCACCATACCCGGCTAATTTTTTGTATTTTTAGTAGAGATGGGGTTTCGCCATGTTGGCCAGACTGGCCTCGAACTCCCGACCTCAAGTGATCCGCCTGCCTTGGCCTCTTAAAGTGCTGGGATTAACAGGTGTGAGCCACTGCGCCCAGCCACAAGAAGGCAGCTTTCTCTAGGGAGCCGTCTTTGGAGGAGGGCTGGTTGAGGTTCATGTTCAATGACGCTCTAGGCTTGTGGTGACCAAGGTCACCCAGGTGATTTAAATATAAGCTGAAATCACACTTGCTCGCTGTTTTGCTTTATTTTTTTCTCACCCTGAGAGATGTAGCCCTTTGAGGGCTCCACATATGCAAGGAGGGGCTTTTTACCATTTTCCCTCCTCGTATCACACCTACTCTTAAGGTGTTTTTTTTTGTTGTTGTTTGGTTTTCTTTCCTGCAATCACAAAACCGTTGAAATAGAGTTTCAAATTTTCCTGATTTGAGAAATGCCTTCAGAGAGAATATATAATTTATGTTGGTTTTATCTGTAGGTTTCTGTTTTTATTTGAATCCTGTTTTTGTGATTTTTCACTGTCTTTTCGTTTTTTAAAAAATTTATTTTATTTTAAGTTCTGGGATACATGTGCAGGACATGCAGGTTTGTTACGTAGGTAAATGTGTGCCATGGTGACTTGCTGCAATGTGATTGCAGCGATGTGATTTGCTGCATGGTGATACCTACCCATCACCTAGGTATTCAGCCGCACATCCATTAGCTATTTATTCTGATGTTTTCCCTCCTCCTGTCGCCACCATAGGCCCCAGTGTGTGTTGTTCCCCTCCCTGTGTCCATGTGTTCTCATTGTTGAGCTCTCACTTGTGAGTGAGAACATGTGGTGTTTGGTTTTCTGTTCCTGCGTTAGTTTTCTGAGGATAATGGTTTCTAGCTCCATCCATGTCCCTGCAAAGGACATGGTCTCGCTCCTTTTTATGACTGCGTAATACTCCGTGGTGTATATGTACCACATTTTGTTTAACAGTCTATCACTGATAGGCATTTGGGTTGATTCCATGTCTTTGCTATTGTTTCACTGTCTTTTCATGTCACTTATTCATGTGAAGAATTGAAGAAGCATCCAGTTTTTTTTGGTTTTTTTTTGTTTTTTTTTAAGACAGAGTCTCACTCTTTTGCCCAGGCTGGAGTGCAATGGCATGATCTCAGTTCACTGTAACCTCCACCTCCTGGATTCAAGAGATTCTCCTGCCTCAGCCTCCTAAGTAGCTGGGATTATAGGCTCCTGCAACCACGCCTGGCTAATTTTTGTAATTTTAGTAGAGACAGGGTTTCACCATGTTGGCCAGCCTAGTCTCGAACTCCTGACTTGAAGTGATCCACCCACCTCGGCCTCCCAAATTATTGGGACTACAGGCATGAGCCACTGTGCCTGGTTGCATCCAGCTTTTTAAAAATGCTGGAATTTAGTTCAAGTAACTTCACTTGCTGTTAATGGAAGCAACAAGTCCAACACGGGATGTTAAATTTTCATGATTCAGTGATTACTCCACTCTGGGATGCAGTAGAAGTGATAATTGCCATTGAGTTTATAGGTTTCCATACCACACAAGCCCACATCAAAAGCTGGAGAGGATGTGGAGAAATTAGGAACACTTTTACACTGTTGGTGGGACCCTAAACTAGTTCAACCATTGTGGAAAACAGTGTGGCGCTTCCTCGAGGATCTAGAACTAGAAGTACCATATGACCCAGCCATTCCATTACTGGGTATAACCCAAAGGATTATAAATCATGCTGTATAAAGGACACATGCACATGTATGTTATTGCAGGCACTATTCACAGTGCAAAGACTTGGAATCAACCCAAATGTCCATCAGTGACAGACTGGATTAAGAAAATGTGGAACATACATACCATGGAATACTATGCCAAGCCATAAAAAAGGATGAGTTTGTCCTTGTAGGGACATGGATGCAGGCTGGAAACCATCATTCTCAGCAAACTATCGCGAGAACAGAAAACCAAACACCCCAGTTCTCGCTCATAGCGGTGGGAACTGAACAATGTGATCACTTGGACTCGGAAGGGGGGAACATCACACACTGGGGCCTATTATGGGAGGGGGGAGGGCGAGAGGGATGCATTGGAGTTATACCCCTGATGTAATGGATG